TCTGACCTTAGAGAATAAACCAGTATGCTAATCGCTTTACAATAAAACAAAAATGAAAATAATGTTCTAGTAACCACAATGAAAATCACTTCACAATTTGGATCCATTGCACACGGCTTAAACCATGGAGTAGCAATATAGTGCCATACTCCGTTCAAGCAGTCTTTGACAAAATGACAGATAAAATAGTATGAAGTTAGCATAATTTAAAATACATAATCCACCTTTTGAAGGACTACAATTGGACAGTATGAAACCAATGACAAGGTCATTACATGTTACCACTCTGCACTATTTAATGCTCATCGGTCCAAAAGGCAAGGATAGCATGAATCTGAATATTTCCAAAATAAAGAATCAACGAGGAGGAAGGAGGGAATCTGATGAGAAAGAGGCAAAACAACTCAACTGCTTTTCAGTGAATGCTTCATTTCATAACCATTACCTACACAGAATGCAACAACAAATGATTAGAGAGGGCCAGAACCACTTGACTGCTTTTAAAAGATGCTTCTATTGATAACCAATACCTGCAAAGCACCTATGAATGAACAACTCTATTTTCAAATTCATTCTTTCCAATAGTTATCAATCTCTAGTCAAAGTATGATGTCATTATCCACAAAAACCTAAAATAGGTACAAAAAGGTAGTCATACTATGCATTTATGTTTCCACCCTTGACTATATTTTGAAAGTAAAGCCAAATTTTCCTTCTCAATTAAACATATAAACCTTTGAAATGCAACCACAATTATAACTCTCTAACAATCAATAAGACTATCCAAACTCGCAACATTTATATGAAAACTAAACAACTGAAGACTAGAAGTTAAATCTTCATATAAAAAAGGGCAAATAAAAAATAAGTCCTGGTACAGGATCATGAAACCATCAATTTCAATGATATACCATATATGTTACTAGCAAGAAAGAAACTAAAATAAAATTAAAAAAAGAGGGTGAAATTTTGATGAATGATGCAACTTACCCCAAGACATATGGAACATGCCTGCAGTCTTTCAAATTCAGCAGGCAAGGAGTGTATGTAAACACAGCACAATCACCAGAGAATATTCCTTCATCTGGAGTCACAGAATAAACCAATTCCAATGTCTTGTTGTCAGGATTATACCTAAAAACTCCTCTGTTAACCCCAATGAAAATGGCTTCAGAGTTTGGATCC